CCGCAGGGCTCGGCGTGTCTTTGCTTCTCACCACGGGCCATGAAGGGTGTGGCTCTTCTGCTGTTTCACTTCCCTGACTCCACAAATGCTCAAAGCGGAGCACCGGGGAATTCGCACACACCTGCCCCGTTAGCTGCTGCGGCACCAGGCGGGGGACTCCGCAGCCACCTGCTGCCTTCACGGAGCGAAGCTGGTTCCTCGTGATTGTCGAGGCCAGAGCGTGTGCTGTTCTCAGGGCCGCCGCCCAGGCTCGCAGGGGCTGGCGCACCCTCACAGTCATGCCATCTCTGCTGCGACCTGGCTTTTTCTCTCTGTAAGTGGACAACTGTACGTGTCCCGGACTCCAGGAGGGCCATCCTCTGGAACTAGAGGTTCATTTCTCCAGCTCCTCTGGTGGTAGAGGAGAGGGGAATGGCTTGGCTCTCCGCAGGTACAAAGGGAAGGGCCAGGGTGCTGAGAACTCTCCCTCCTTTTGCAGCGGAGTTCACGGGCCCCCCACAGAAGCCGCCGAGGCTGGGTGCACAGGTATGTGTTGGCTCTGTCAACGCTGGTAATGACTTTAAATCAGGGCTCCCCAAGACTTAAGACGGCAAAGATTTCAGAGGCCCCTGGAAATACTCTAGTCCAGTGTCCTCCTGATATCGCTGAGGCCCAGGGAGGGGAAGCGCCTTGCCTGAGGCCACACAGCTAATCCGCGAAAAAGCAAGGGGAAGACCCCTCTCCTGTCTCCCGTGTCTCCGCCCCAACCTGAAGGACAGCTTATGGGTCCCACCCTGGGGACTCCTTCTTCGCTGGCCCACACCCTCATGGCGTTCAGCACCCGCATTGTTCTTGCAGCAGCCTGGGCTGGGCGCTGCCTTTCCTCACTTGGGAGCAGTGGTTCTCAGCCATGTCTGTCCATTAGAATCACTGAGGGGCTTTTGAGCCCACCTACCTGCCTGCCTGCCCCCTCCCCCCAACCCCACCCCAGCCTCCATGCCAGGTGAGGCTCAGTTGGCCTGGTGTGGAGCTGGCCGCCAGGATTCTGTAAGGCTCCCGGCTGAGTCTAATGTGAGAACCACTGCCTGGAAGCAGAAGGGAGGGGTGCACCCCCAGGACAGGGCACTGCTATTTTGGGGAAGAGTCTTCTCAAACTGGGCGGGTGGCTGAGCCGGCACCTCGAGTGCCCGCCCAGGAAAGAACGGTAGCGTCCCCCTGACTCGAGACACCCCCACCAGTCCATCCAGCCCACAGCCAACCTGGATCGGACCGACGACATGGTGTACGACAATGTCATGGATCTGGTGCAGGCGGTGCTGGACCTCAAGAATAAACTCTGTCAGCTGCCCCCCGAGGCCTACGTGATGGTGGTGAAGGTGAGCGGCAGGGGCAGAACCGGGACCAGGGCGGTGGAGGCTGCTCATCCCAGCCCTGGGGGGAGGGGCGAGGGCGGAGCTCCCTGGTCTGCCCGGCAGGTGTCTTTACTTGGGAAGAACCCCATTAGCTCAAGGTGGTCAGAGCCCACTCAGTCCCAGGAAGCCTGAGAAGGCAGCTGCCGATCAGGAGTGCTCTCCCAAGGGAAGCATGGCGTTCTCAACAAACAGAAGGTGACAGCCGCCCTGCCCTCTCTCTCCCAGAACGTGGGCCTGACCCTGCGGAAGCTGATTGGGAGCGTGGACAGTATCCTGCCTTCCTTGCCGGCATCGTCACGGACGGAGGTGAGTGTCCTTGTCTCGGACAGTGTCTCCGGCTCCCCTTCGCCTCCCCCTGTCCCAGCTGTGGTTCATACCGGGGGGTGCACAAGGCCACTTGGGCAGCCTCACTTCTGCCTGCCGAGCCTGCAGCTGGGGCCCTGCACAGTGTGTCTGAGCCTGTTCCACGGGGGCACTGAGTGGGCACTTGGGGCCCTGGCCGGCTTCCTAGGGCCGGTTCCCAGTTTAGGTCTCAGGTAGCTGCAGTGACATCTTAAAGTGTGAGGACACGAAGGAGGGCACACCTTCCCTTTTGCCCCTCCTGTGGGCCTTGATCTAGTCCCCTCCCTACTAGAGTGAAGGTGAGTGTGTTATGGAAACAGCAGTGAAGGGTGCTTTTGTTGGCCATTGAATCTAATTTTCTCTATTTAAGTGAGAAACAATCACCGAAAGCTGACATAGGAGGCTTGGTGCTCTGCATGGAGATGGGGCCTGTGTGGGCAGAATAATGGCTCCTCAAATCGCTCCCTGTCCTAGTCCCCAGAACCCGGGACTCAGTTACCTTCCATGGCAAAGGGGACTTCGCAGATGGGATAAGTTAAGGACCTTGAGGTGGGGAGATTGCACTGATTACAACGTAGTCACAGGGTCTGTTTATGAGGGAGGCGGGCGCAGAGTTCTTGTGAGAGTCAGGGAAGGAGGGGTGACAACAGAAGCAGAGGTGGAAGTGATTTCAATTTTGGCTGGAAGGAGGCACAGGCCAAGCGGGACAGGCAGGGGCAGAGTCTCCCCAGAGCCTGCAGGAGCGCGGCCCGCGGCCCGGCAACCTCGGCTTTAGCCCCGTAGGACCTGGTCCAGACTCCCGCCCTCCGGAACGGTGGAGGATAGTCTAGTCTGTGTGGCTTTAAGCCACCAGGGTTGCGGTACTCCATCACCGCAGCCATAGGAAGCAGTCAGTGCTCTGACATTTGTCTGCCTGGAAACCAGATGTAGACCCTGAGGAAGCCCACGCCCCTGCCGGGCTGCGGTTTGATGTGGCATCTCCCTGTGGTCAGTGACGTGGCACAGGTGACCACCGGAGCCCCCAGTCTGTGCTGCTCAAGACAGCACTGTGGTGGAGAGGGGTTCCCAGCCTCCCTCTGGGTGGCAGCAGCAGTCCACAGAGGAGCAGGCCGGGCTGTGCAGTCTGACAGGAGAGCATCTTGCCCTGGGCATGATGACCCAGTCACTCATCTCACCCGATAGACACTTGAGTGCTGAGCTTGTGCTCAGAACTGTGCTAAGCACCGGGCTCATGTCTGTAAATAAACGCTACAGCTCCCTCCACAGGCCCAGGGCTCTTGATTTGATGACAGGCAGCTCACAAATGCATGAATGCACTTGACCTCAACCATCGGCTCGAACATTGGGCCAGCACAAGAGGATGCTGTGATAAGAGGAGGGCCTGTGGGGTGGGATCAGACGGGGCTGGCATGGGGTGGGCTGGGGTCTAGGGTGTCTACAATGTCAGTCCTTGGTGACTGGGCTCCGGCCCGTACCCCAGCCTGGGTGTGACTTGTCCCCCAGAGAACTTCTGACTGCTTCCGCCAACACCCAGGTGCACACGTGCTTAGGCTCCCAGCCTCTCCTGTGCGCTCCTCCCACAGATTGAAGGGACCCAGAAACTGCTCAACAAGGATCTGGCGGAGCTCATCAATAAGATGCGACTGGCCCAGCAAAACGCCGTGACCTCCCTGAGCGAGGAGTGCAAGCGGCAGATGCTCACGGCCTCCCACACCCTGGCCGTGGACGCCAAGAACCTGCTCGATGCCGTGGACCAGGCCAAGATTCTGGCCAACCTGGCTCACCCGCCTGCAGAGTGACGGAGGGTGGGCCACCCGCCTGCGTCTTCGCCCCGCCTGTCGTGTACCTCCCTTGCCCCCGGCCCTGCCCTGCCTTCGGCCACGTGGGTCTTCTCAGGGGGAAGGCCGAGAGGAGTTCTTCCCTTGCCACTTTGCACGACCCCCTCTCCCCACCCGACACCCAGACTGTGCTGCTCAGGCTGCAGCTGGACAGAGGGGACTCAGGGCTGTAGAAGCCAGGGGGTGACCACCAGGGCTCAGAGGGAGCACAGCTGCCACTGGCCACTCCCTTCTCCTGCCTGCTGGGCCTGCTGGGGGTCCCGCTGATGCCCCTAGTGGCCATGATGGCTTTATGCATGGACATAGCAGGCCCTGTGGGAACCAAGCTATTCCTTCTTCCTCTTCTGCCCACGGAAGTCCCCCGACGCAGAGGAGCCCAAGAGGGGCTTTCTTTGGCCGAGTGGATGGTCGGTGAGATGAGGGATGGACCTGGCTTTCTTGTACAGTGTATATTGGAATTTATTTAATGTGAGTCTGGTCTGGACGGATAGCCATGCACCCCTGGAGGGGGGGCCTGGGACACGGTCCAGCAACAAGCTAGTGGGAGGCTGGGCACAGGACGCTGTGTGGCCAACACGCCAAGTGTCGAGGAGAAGGGGAGTGGAGGCCAAACAGGACTTGGACCACAATCCACTCTTCCTCACGCCCACTTTTCTCTTTCTTTCCTTATTTTGCTTCCTCCTTCCTTCCTCTTTTCTTATTCCTCCCTCTCTTTCCTCTTCCTCACCAGCTTCCTCCCTCCTCCTCCCTCGTGTTTGTGCAGAACACCCTTTATGTTCTTTCTATTTGACTTGTGGATGAATTAAATTGTACTATTTGCTTTGTGGTTTGATTGCTTTGTTGGTTTGACCTGCTCTCAGTGGGGAAACACAGACCTCAAACCACAGCCCTCCCTCAAAGACTGGGATTGTGCTCAGTTGGGCAGAGATCAAGGGCTGATGCCTGGGCTCATCTGAGGGGCGCCCGGTGACACCCAGGCAGGGGGGTCAGGCATGAGCCCCAGCCCCTGTGCCCCTGCACCTGACCAAAGGGACATTTCCCAGGGGGGACCCAGGGCAGCCCCCGCACAGGCACGTGAGGAATGGCACTCTCTCAGCGGGCATCCCCACAACCAGGGCTCTGGGGGAGGTTCTGGGGGTCCTGGGGACGCTGACACGGGGTCCCACAGCTCGATGAACAGCAGCTTCCATTTTATTTGATCGCTTTATTCACATGCAAGATGGATGGGAGACAGACTAATGTAAGGGAACATCACGGCACCAGGAGCTCCAGGCTGGGAGAGCCAGGAG